GACCAGAGAAGCCCTGAGAGAGGAGGAGCCCCGAGACCCTTCTCAGTCTTTCCGTTTGTGGCCACGCAACTCCAGCACTGGGACTCGGATGCTGGGCTTTGTTCTGTTTGGTATCAGTAACATGGGACTGCTAATCCCGCCTACGGACCTCCAGTAGCTGTCGCAAGTCAACTCAAGGACCGTAAGCTGGGGAGCATGGTAGGCATGAACGCTGGGTGGGCACGGGGATGACGAATCTGCTACGCAGGGGCCAAAGGCAGGGTCCTGAGCAGATGGGCAGACCGGCTGCGAGAACTGGCCTGGCCCCTGGGGACTAGGGGGCCTCAGGAACCGATTGGGAGCAGAGATCCGCTGTGCCACCAGCCTGAGCCCCCTCACGTCACCTGCTCCCCCTCCCAACTCATCAACCCCCTGGAAACAGAGCCAGGGGGAGCCAGGGGGAGCCAGGGCCTCCGGGCTGGCCTCTCCCATCGCCACCCAACTCCCTCTCAAGCTCAGACCTTCCCAGCACACAGCGGCACCAAGCTCTTTGATTACGTATTCCTCGGCAATGAAACATTTATCTCACAACCCCAAAGCACTCATATTTATTAAATCATGTGCATGTGTATCTGCAGTCCCTACGTTAAATATTGAACATCCCTTCTCCTAGGCAGGGATGATGTGAAAGAGAAGTTCTGGCACTTTCTTCTCACGCCCAGCCACTGGCTGAGGCTCTGCAGAGACACCCAGCCCTGAGCTCAGGGAATGGGGAGCCGGGAAGCTGGGGTCCATGAACTTCCCGGCTCAGAAGGGCTAGTCGTCTCTTGGGGCTCTCACAGGTCACGTGAGTGGAGCCCGGGGTGCTGTGTCCCATCCCTTCCCCGAATCCTACTCTGCCACCCCCACTGGAGGCCCGAGGGGTCCCGGAACAAGCCATTCAACGGAGCACAGGCAGCCGGGAGATGCCACAGCACTGCCAGGGGACCATCGCCGGGAGGGCCACACATGCCCCACGAGCCAGCGGGGTGGGGCCGGTCCATCCCCACAGGCAGGGCAGGTGGAGAGTGTGCCAGGGGACAGCCCCAGGCCCCTCCCTTCTTCACAGCCACTCAGGCAGGCGGGAGGGCAGCAGGTGGCTCACAGCACTCAGCCTCAGGTCAGGCTGGTGGTTCTGCCCTGGGCTGTCACGTGCTCGGGCCCCTGGTGCCGTGGGGCTAAGCCCTGGGCTCTAAGGAGACTGACCTTGGCTTTCAGGGGCGAAGACTCTGGCTCCAGGGAGGCCTCTCCAAGGGAGGCCTGGGGCCCACCCAATCGGGCCTCCAGGCAACATCCCAGGGCTTCTGGGGCCCAAACTCCCCAACTTCCATCCTGAAGTCCCGCTTTCCCCGGGCGGTATCCCCGCCCCCTTCCAAAGCTCTCCTCAAAGGCCCCCAGCCCCCACCTCAGCCTCCCTCCCTCAGGCCTGGCCCCAATCCTGGGGCTCCTGACTAAGGCCCCACAATGCCGTCTGCGTCCCAGCTCTCAGTGGTAACCGTCAAGGCTGGCTGTGCCCTAGGTCCCTGGAGAGGCTGAGGGTCCAGGCGCCTGTACTCCGAAGGACCCTCCACCCAACCCTGGGGCGGCCCGCGGGGAGGGCGGCCAACACCAGGGACACTGAAGTGGCTGGAGGGGAGGCCCTGCGGGTGACCACTAGCACCAGCCAAGAGCCCAGAAGCCAACCCCAAGAACACCCAGCCCAGCGGCGCCATCTTCTCCCCCCATCTCCCTTCTAGCGGTCTAAGGGTGCGCCATTCCCACCCAACTCCCAGCAGGCCTGGCCCAAGAGAGGGCCCAGACAGCCACCTCCCAGCCACCACCCTCCTGCCTTTGTGACGTCAGGGCCTGGCTGGGCGCGGCTGCGCGTGGACCCTTCTAGGTAAGGTCACCGTGTGTCAGAGCTCCCCTGGCACAGGGACCGGCCTCCTCAACACCCAGAGGCCAGAAGGGAGGGCGCTGGAGCGCTGGGCTCTGGGAGGGGCGGAGGTGCGACCCACACTCTGCCCTGATGCCTGGCAGCTGATTTCCTTCTGATACTCATGGGGGGGGGGGGCCATCAGAGGAGCCTCCAATGGGTACACAGGAGCCACACCACACACACCCCCCCCCCGAGAGGAAGGACCACAGCCCCAAGATCAGGAGGGTGGCGCATGGAGGGCACCCCCTGGTGACACCCAGAGCCCAGGCGGATGGAAGGCTAGGAGACCCCTGGTTCTTTATCTCTGGCAGCACCAGGCTCCTCTCCAGCAAGGCCCCTTCCCTGCCCTGAGGGCTCTCTCTGCCCTAATCCCCTCCTTCCAGCTGCTCCCAAGGGCAGCTCCACAGAGTGGGGTGCCAGGCTCCAGGGCTGGGCAGACAGAGGGCTGAGCCTGGCTCTCCACAGGACTGGGTGCCCCAGGGAAAGTTCCTGGACCGCCCTGAGCCTCACTCCCCCGGGGGTGGAGCAGGGATGGGGACATCGGCTTCCCAGGGTCTGCATGCTCCCCTCCCTCTCCGCCTCCTCCATCTCTGGGCCTGAAGGCAGGGCCCTTCCCCCGACTTCAGTCAATACCAGCCATAGACATAACAGGGCACTAGGGAGGAGAGGGGTGGGGCAGGGGCCTCCGACCCACGACCTCTGACCTTCCCCCACCCGCCAGTCTTCGGAGCGTCTCTGAGAACGCAGCTCCCTGGCTCTTAGGTGTCGGGTGGGTTTAGGGAAAGGAGTCCTGACTGACCGCCAGAGTCCTCGCCCCGAAACAAGGATGGGGCCACAGACAGAGGGGCTTCCAATCCCTCCCGCCCCGTCCCCCCAGATGCCCTCTGGGGTCCTCCTGTGGCAAAGGGGACCAGAGGCTGCCATCACCAGCCTTCCCAGCTTCCCCATCTCGGACCCTCTGCCTAGAAAGACCACGTGAACTCTCCCCACCGAACTGCGTCCCCAGCCTCATCTTCAGAGCAGCGACAGCTCTATGTGGCTCTCAGGCACCTACGCGACGGTGGCCGCCCACTGACTTCCCACAGACACACACAGCCGTGGAGCAGGGAATAAGCCGCAGGAGCGCCCGGGCTCCCAGGAAACCCTCCCTGGGCACCTCTGGGGCCCCTTGGCCCCCACAACCCCCTGGAAATTCCTAGGTTCAGCCCGAGCCCTGGGACCCATTCCCAAGCTCCCCCAGCTCCACACACATACAGCCCTGAGCGTGCACGTCCAACTCGGAGTTTCCAACCATCTCGCTCAGACCCTCCTGCCTCCCTGGGAAGCTGAGTGCCTGGCCTGCAGAATGGGAGAGGACAGTTGGGTCCGGTCTGTTTTTCCTGCCCCCCCTCCCCCCCGCTATTTATCATGTCCTCTCCAGCCAGCCCGGGCACTGAAGGTGGTGAGGGGCTGAACGGCTCAGCCAAGATATGGGTCAGGCTTGTCTCCTGGGCCAAGAGTGGGGAACGTCTCCTGGGCTGTACACTCCCCTCGAATTGCTGGCTGCGAGAACGCTAGCAGAGACTCCATTAGCCGAGAGGGCTGGCGGGCTTGGGAGAGCGAGGGCTGCAATTCCTCCTGGCTTTGCAGCCCCATCACGCTGGGGCTCAGGCACAGGAAGGGCTGGCGCCAGGGAGAGCAGCGCCAATGGCAGATTCGTTACCCCCCCTCCCCCGCCAGTCCCCCAAACGCCTTCTCAGACTCCAGTGCGAACCCTTCCCAGCATCCCACCCACTTCACCAGTCCCCAAGGGGTGGGACCTTGGGAGGAGACAGGCCAGAGCTCCCTCCGGAACCATCCGAGGGCCATCCCCACCCTTCTCTGGTGGCCAGAAGGGAGGGGGTCACCTGGCCGAGGTCAGGGGAAGAAAAGATGGGCAGGCTCCCTGAACCCCAAGTTCTTTTCTCCCTGCCCAGGCTTCCGGCCCCTTCCCTGCCAAGGAAAAATAACCAGAAAAGAACAGGCCACCACAGGTCTCACTTATGGGGGGCAGAACCACGCAAACACAGGTCAGAGTTCAATTTTCCAAATAAACACATCTGCACGATCATATCAGAACCGCCGGCTGCAAAACAGGCAAGCCCTCGCTTGCCTTCACCATCCTCACTCCCAGTTCCCGAGCTGTTCTCCAAGCCCAACAGGGCGATCTGTGGGCGCCCAAATGCAGAGGAGGGGAAGAGGGGAGGGGTCTGGGAAATGCCCAAAACGGGGTTGGGGAGGACAGACAGAAGGCAGGCAAGGGTGGGCGTCCATGACGACCTGGCCCTGTCCAAAGTCTCCCCCCACCCGCCAGCAGCCAGCTCTCAACTTGTTTACTTGTCAGCGTGTTTTGCTCTTTCCAAAAGGAAACAGTTAAACATCTTGGCCGGATGGCCGGCAGTCCCTGTCACCTTCCCTTCAGGCTCAGCGCCGCTGTCCCTGCCACCACCACCGCTGCCAGGGACTCGAACCTCCTCTACTTTATTCTACTTGAGCGTGGCCAAACTGTTGCTATTTAGTGGGGGGAAAGAACCCGATTGGCACCCTGGAAACCAGCCGCAGCGGGTGGGAGCGGGGGCGGGCTGCCCCCCCATCCTCCCTGGCGGGGGTCTTCTCCCGGGAGGCGCACACGCACCGCGGACCAGCCTGGACAGGGCCAGTCACCTGCATACGCAGCCCGGAGCATCTCCGAGCC